TGAGGAGAGGAGAAGGGCGAACTGAATGTGTGGTGTGTGGGAGTATGGGGTATAGGTGTATGGGTGTAATGGTGGTGTGTGTGCGTACCTATGGATGGATGTGTGGTAGGCGGAGCTGGGCAAGGTATCCGTAGCTCGCTAATAAGACGATGCGAGGTCAAGAGGTCTTGTCGATGAGAGTAAAGAAGAGACGAGAGGGGGTCTGATCTGAAGAGGCTGAAGAGGTGTTCCCATAAGGTACCACACAAGTAAGGGCAGGGTACCTGAGGCAATGATGGGATAGGGCGTGGTGAAAACAAGAGGGAGGCCTGGTCTGGTCAGTTCTGGCAAGGCCAAGCAGGTCATGCAATGAATATGGAGGTAAGTTACCTCGAGGTGAGGTAAAGTAAAGTGTGGTAGTAACGGGAGTACTCCGTAATGCAGATGCAGTGTGCGCAGACTCGCAGAGAGAAAGAGAGAGAGCACGCTTGAGGAGAGAGATGCAATGCAGTCGATATCCAGCTCCAGCCAGCAGCTCCAACTCCAACTCCAAGTCCAACTCCAGCTCCCCCAGTCCAGCCCAGTCCAGTCCAGTCCACCCAAGTCTTGGTCTTTTTTTTTTCTCTTGGGCCAGTTGAGTTTGGGTTGAGTTGGTGTGTGCCTGCCTGTCTGTGTGCACTGCAAGCAACACGAGCGGCATGCACTGTATGAAAAGCACTAACCCCAGGCCAAGGGTATGTATGCACAGAGGAACAAGCTAAGCCCTGGTTGGTTTTGGCCTTGGGGGACAGATGCCTGCTCCAGTGGTCCTAGGCCCAAAGGAGCACGGACAGGTAGCATGGAGCCTGGAGGTAAAGGTCTGCGCTGGAGGCCTGTACCTGTCGAGTTCAACAGATTGTCAGGGACGGGAGTGTGCGGGCTGGCTGTGGATCGAGTCGACTAATATCGGCAGAGGGGGACAAGTGGGCAGGTCCCAGTTGATCATCGTACGGGAGAGTGGGAACGCTTCGGGACGATGAAAGCACAACGGTGATGCTGAGATGGGGAGAAAATCAAGACAAGAACGAGAAAAAGAAAAAGGGGGCCTCAGATGAGGTGAGGGGAAAATCATACCCTGCCACTGCCTTTACCTTAGAGTAGGGTATCTGTATCTGTATTCTGACTTCTTTTCCCTCCCTCAGCTTGACCCCTCGGTCAAACTTCTTGTAAGGCGGAGAGCATCCAAAGGAATGCCCGGATAGCAATGGTACCTTGGACCACCAGCGTAGCAGTAGTAACCGGAAGGCTGCATCCAAGTTGCCTTGCAAGTCTTTGACTTGGTGGAGCATAACAATATTGGAAAGATATTGCTATGCAACAGCTGCCTTGAACATCCAAATGCACAGAATCCCATAGCCCACCAATAATAATGGCATGCTCTGTAGCAGAGTGGAAGAAAACGCAGCTTTCCAAAGCTCCCTATCCACAGGATCGACCACTTGGTCGCTGTGCATGTAACAGAAGTTGACCGAGAATGGGGGCTACCCGAACTGGCACTGGAGATAGAAAAAGAAAGAGACAAAAAAGAGAATCATCGCGTTGACTGTGAACAGCACTTGCTGAAGTCTGCGGGGTATCCATCGTAGATGGAACAAGGTCCTGTTGGTCTTTGCATTGAGGTTGCCCCAAGAAAGCAGTGATGGACACATTGAGATGTCGAAGCAGGTAAAGGGGAAAGAAGGTACCCAATCAACTGCGAGGCGTGTTAGAATCTTGGAACGTCAGCTAGAACAAGGAGACACACTCTTTGCTGGTTTTTTTTGCAGCTGGAAGGTTTCCCCCTTCCCGTCAAAGAGCTTTGAGTGGCCCAGGTGCACTGCAAGAGGGTGTGCAGCGGAAAGCGAGACGACGGGGTGATAGGGCCCAGGAGAACAGCCTCGACACCCTTTGCAGGCCAAGGCAACTGCCTAGGTGGATAAAAGGGTGGCAGGAAGCGGGAGCCAGAATAGCCCGGGTGATGAGGGCAGAAAAAATAAATTTGGAAAGATGGGAGGAAGTTATCCAAGAATTGTTGGTAGAGAAATCCGGGTTGCGATGGGTGTGGTGCTGTACTTTTCGATTGGTATTTTCGTACAGAGAACGGGTATGCAGGTACTTGGTGCGAGAGAATGGGGTCCCGAGAGTAGCAGGCCGAAAATGGAAAAGATATCAAAGGGATGGCAGCTATAGCAATATTAGCTCGAGAGAAAAAAGAAGTGTAACTGTTGTAAAGTCATCCCTCATATGAGTGAGTGGTGTGCCAAGTTGAGGTTTTCCTCTTTTCGTATCCGTACTTATTGATAGGTAAAGCAGAAAGGAATATATCTCAATCAGTCAGGAAGGAAGTCTCCAAAACGCAATGTCGTCGGGGCAGGAGATAGACAGGCTGGACGGAGGGTGCCTGCCATGCCTGTCTTCTCTGGCGGCACAGTGTAGCCAAAGTGCCCGTCTCGAGCGGTGGATCCGAGCTAACCGTCCTTGGCCACTTACAGGTACGTACTGCTTGGCATCTTCCCGATTCTCCACACTGTTCTCCAGGTATGGATCCACTTGTTGTCCACTACCACTGCCAGTCAGAACACAGGAAACACAGGGATGGGCGGGCTAGACAGGCCAGGCCGGGCCTGTCAGGGCTCAGGGGTTGTGGCTAGTGGGGCCGCCCGTCTGCAAGTGACCAACCATCTCAGACCAATGTCCTCCAGGCCGTTGCTTCTTTGTTCACCCAACAGCAATTGGGAGCTGCCTCGACAGATCGTGGGTTTCGGGACCAAGAGGGAAGGAAGCGGGGAAACAGAGCCTGTCAGAGTGGAAGCAGAGACTATACTCCGTACTCCGTACTCCGTACTCCTTCAGACAGATGAAATCGAAATGGAAGCAAGCCACCCAAAATGATAGGTGTTCATACCTAGTAAAGGCATGCACACTACGGATACGTGACTACCTACCTGCGAAGTACATGGGAGCCTCTCACGACGTCTTGGCTCCTCCCCGTACATCCGAATCGACAGTGGCACCTCGACGGGGACATCTTGTTTCCACCTCAGTGCGCTGCCTCTTTCGTTGCTACCTTAGGTTGCTCGCCAGTTCATGACTGGATCTCTATTCGTACATCGATGCTACCTCGATCTGCATAATTACATATTCATCAAATCCTCTGCTTCGTCGCGTTCCGGCCGAGACTTCGATATAGACTCGGGCGACAAATCGCGGCAATGGCAGAGACGGGATACAACGACATCGTATCCATACTGGCACCTCGTTATTCCGTTCTCGATCAAGACCAGCCTCGACGATCAAGAAGCTTCCCGAACAAAGTAGGTTGCACTGCCGTCTCTCATGGCCACTCCTTCATCCGCGTCCGCAGAAAATGATGGCACTCTCGCATAAGATTCTTCCGAGTCCTACAACTCCAAATCTCCTCAATCACCACCGCCCCGCTCATGACATGCAATGCCTGCAGAGAAGACGTTGTGTGATACGTCTGCATCTTGCGCCCATGTACCCCAGTCGACAGCGGCATACGCATGCTCCGTACTCCGTACACCTCAGATTTTCGCCAGCGCGGCGTATTACTCCATACATCACCTTGGAGTCATTGTTTCTGCAGGTCCCGATGCTATAGTCGTGTTTGCACATCCGATATTCCCTTCGGCCCACTGTTCTTCCGTGGTCGGGAATCCGGGTTGAGCGCTAAGAACAACTTCTAAAGGTGCGATTATCACTCAACGAAACTATCGAAACACCAAGGAAGACCAGCGTGAGCGAGGAGCGAACTTCCCCGGATCACCGACATGGATACCTGCCCTCATCATGGTCCCGACGATGCCGTCGATACCTACTGCAGCTTTCTTCTGACATGCTTTCCCTCAGCCTCCGGGCATGGAGTGGCCATCTGACCTCTATGCGGCTGCAACAGGCTGAGCCCATTCGCCCATCGCCGATCCTCCAACCTTTAGCGGCTTTTCGCCCCTTGATCAACAAATGGCCAGGTCCAACTTCGGTCAGCAGTGGCATAGCGCTACAATCAGGAGGAGCATATTTGAACCACCAGCAAGTCGCGCCAGCCAACCGGCTGATTGCATCCATCGTCCCAAGTGCCCAAGTACATTTGGTGGTCTCGCCGTTGCAGGGTCTCACCCTTCTACTGCTTGGCCGAGGCCGTGGACGTACGTGAGACACAGTCGTGATCCAAACACGTCTGTTTCTTGAACGCAATGTGAAGCACGCGCCGCCATCGTGTCCGGGAACACTACGGCAGCGGGAGCCATGGTCGATGTTCGCATGGCGGTTTCCCTGGCACACCTGGAAGGTTTGGAGGTTTGCCGTTGAAGTTGCAAGGGTGGCTGGAATTCTGCAGCTTGCCATCAGTGCTCATCCCTCACCACCCCGCACTACATCCATGTTCTACAAATGTCCGTGGGCTCTCGTTACGCTACAAACAAGGTGACAAGACAAGGCACAAGGAAACGTCTTCCAGTCTACACCAGCTGATGTCAGTGTGAGACGCCTCAATTTTGCTGAGACTCTCTTCCACGGGTATCAAGTGAAGAGGAAACATGGACCCAGGTGCCATAATGCAGCAAGTCTGGAGCCACGACCACTACTACCGACAGAGATGGAATATGACCAACTACGAAATGACGGACCAGCTTTTGCACTGGGCAACACCGGTCAATGATCTAGAGGAGACCATCACTGCCATCTTTGATATCGAAGGGAGCAACCACTAGAGACAGAGGTGCATGTGCAGATGCAGGCAGAAGGTTTGGCGATGAAGGCCGGGGTTCAGGGCACTTCTCCGAGACCGAGAGGGGTAAGGATCTGTGGAGTAAACGGGCTGCTGCAGCATGTCACGCGCGCCCATCCCAAGCTAACCTCCTTCATCTTCAAAGGTTTCTTCGATTGGACTGTCTCACTGACCTCACAGTGGCATCATCCAGACTCTAGGCATATGGCACGGTTCGGAGCTTTCGATATCGAATCAGATGTAAACCCAGGTAAGCCGTATCGACGACGATGTAGGAACGCACTGCCGGCAACCGGTGGGCGGGGACAATGTCTGGTGCGTCTTTGAGATAAATGCGACCCTGGATAAGTTACTGCCTCTAGTCGACGCACTCTATGCGCAGAATCGCGCATTTCGATTCCATCGACCAGCTGTGAGGAGAATATAGCAACATGTGTCATTGAAAGAGTTTCCTCTGGCCGTTTATTGCTATTCTACTCCTGTTTACGGCTTGTCTAACAACCACACCCTGGAGAAAGTGAGTGTGAGCGTCACGCATCGGTTTTGGAAGATGCGCCGAGCTTGAGACTAAGCAACCCAGACTATGTCACGCATACAAAGGTGACGAGAGATGCCTTCCTTCTGCAATCGACAGGGTGATCTGATGGCCTGCAAATGCGACCATCAAAGACGGCACCGAAACGCAACGTACCGCCCCGTCACTGGAGATCGACGACACCCCCCGAGCCGATGGAGGGCGAAAGTCAAAATCGGCCAGGGGGCTTTACCCCGGATTCTCATCTTGTCATTAAACTCAACCGTGAGCGGCTGCTGCAACGGCTCCCCAAGGAGCCAGAAGTCAAAAAGCCACCAGAAAACGTCTGAGCGGACGTCAAACATCTACAACCTGAGAGCACCTACACGGATCTCAAAGGGAATCATCTGGAAGTTTGACCTTGGAGTGTTGAGTTTCTTCCAAGTTGCTGCCCACCAAGCGGCGCTACTGCAACTAAAGACGGATACTCAGGGTCTCCAAGATCGACCCTCTTCTGGCCCACCCGGCGCGACCGCAACCGCAACCGCAACCGCAACCGTTCCGCTCCTACATCTGACCTGCCTCAGACTGCAAGCCGGCAATCAGTACCAATGCTGGCTCTTCGCAACTCATTGTATAGTGTATTGCGGTATTTCAACAACGTCAACAGGGGCTTGTCAGTCGCTTTCTGAGGGCACCGGTGGTACTCGGTGCGGAGGCAGAGACGGGACAGGCATGCACCCGGCAGACTGGCATGATGATGAGGAGATGCGGCACGAGATCAGCGGAAGTCAAGGAACCTAAACTTGACCGAGCAGAAAAGACGAGCCAAGAAGTCGGTGGGCCGAAGACCTCCTAGGCCCTGTTTGAGGAGAGAAAGAGGGGTGGGAAACAAGCCGGAGATGGCCGTTTTGAAGCGGGATGGAACTTGAAAGGGCTTGAACCACACTCTTGATTTCTGAGATACTGAACCGTGGGGACGCCAGGACGCCAGGAGTTGAGGGGTTTCGATGAGGGGTTCCTGCACGGCAGCAACCAACCCCCGGCTCCCCGCCCTGATCCGCTGCAGCAACCCTTGGTTGGGCCAGAGTCCAATCAGGACGAGGGCAGTAGGGAAAACCCTCCGCCAACCCTGCCCAGTTCGCTACGACGGACATTGGTCTCGAACGCGGCTGGCCTGGCAGACCATGGTCGATCTTTGCCTGCATTGTCGATGCCATGGTCTGAATTCTACAAATTGACTTGACGCCGCCGGTGGTAGGGTTGTGTGCAAAAGGCCCTCATAGGCTCGCCCAGATCGTCATCCATCTGGACCTGGACCGGCCTCGGCTCGGAACTTGACTTTGTTCGAGGCGGCGAAGCTCAGCCCCGGATCAGTGAGGCATCGCATCCGACCGAACACGAGGCTTAGCGATCGCGGTGTGCGAGGTAGGTCTCGGGCCAGGTCATTGCCAGTGCTCACTTTCACCAGGCGAGGCTACGTAGGCGAGGCTGCGATGAAAATGAGGGAACGGCAGTGTACAATCTTTGTAGTGGGTATTCTCTACGTCACCGGGTTGAAGCTGGATGAAATGTTTCTCTTAATTGTACAGCGGTTTTACAGGTATCGTGGGCCCTCCTCAATAATCTTGTCGACTCATCATTCTCAAAGTGTTCAAGTAACACTTCTACACAGATCTCCTCGTAACGCATTCTGGTATGCTACCCGTAGACCTCTATGCCGCGGTTGCCTCAGGTCCCTTTTGGGACTTGAGCTTTTCCTCAAACTTTGCAAACTCTAGGTTGGCGATTTCCTCCTCTTGGTCGAGAATCTGCTCGACGGACTTTACCTCTTCGATCTGAAAATGGTAATGTCAGCACGTATATTCAATGATTGTTCAGGCGGCAATTCGCAGGAAATCACCTGGAAACCAAACGTGTCGGAGTCAACTTACGTAGTGCATCAACATGCTCTCGATACCATTCTTCAACGTCACGGTGCTAGAATCGCACGTCCGGCACGCGCCGCGGAGCTTCAGCAACACGGTACCCTCATCCGTGAACCCGCGGAACTCGATATCGCCACCGTCCTCCTGGATAGCAGGCCGTATCCTCGTCTCGAGCAGCTCCTTGATCATACCGACGACCTCGCTGTCGTTCTCGTCGTAGGCGAGACTGTCCTGCTCCTCGGGGGCGCCGTTGGCCGCCGCGCCCGCGCCGCCGCCCTCCTTGTCTGCCGAGACGGTGACGATGGTCTGGCCCGAGGTGATTGCCTCTGTGATGAGGGCGAAGATTTCGGGGCGGATATGCGCCCAATTTGCGTCGGGGGATTTGTTGACGGTGATGAAGTCGGCGCCGTAAAAGACCGAGGTGACGCCGTCAATGTTCATGAGCTGGGCGGCAAGCGGGGAGGGGTAGGGCGGCGCGATGGTCGAGCGCGGGTTGAGGTACTCGATAAAGGGGGTGGAGAGGGTGTCGGGGAGGATGCGGTGGTTCGGGAGGAATTTGACGGCGTCTGGGTTGGGTGTGTTTTCGGTCTGGATGAAGATTGTGCGGACGGCGCCGGTGCGGGCGGCAAAGGGGGATTGTCTTTGCTGCTGCCGACTTGTTGTTGTTGCTGTCGGGCGGCGTTGTGATGTTTGGTGGTTCTGGTGGAGGAAGCCTGCGCTTGAGGGGGCGTGGACGCTGGCGAAGGATCGCGATTGTGAGGGTCTGGTGGCGGGCCTCGATGTGCGCGCGACGACGCGGAGGGCCGTCCTCGTTGCTCTGTACGATGACATTGTGGCGACGGTGATGTGCTTGAACGATGGGGTGGTGTCGTCGTGTGCTTTTCAATCCGATATGCGTCGCTGTCGTCGTTGTTGACTGTGTATACGAGCCTGGGGCGAAGGTGGTTGGAGGAAAGAAGGTTGTTGGTAGGTTAGGGTGTACGTTGGAAGAAGTGTGATGTCGAAATGTTGATTATTCAGACATACAAATTTACAAAGGGCTGCTCTTACTCACCTCGGCATTACATCCGGTGACGGACCTTTATTTTTTCGAGCAAATTACAGCGCGAGGAAAATGGTTGAAAAGCTTCCACTTTTTTCGCCGTCGCCGCTCAATTCCGAGGCGTTGCATTACCAATCACTCAGGTCTCTGCAGGAATTGGTCACTTTTTGGGCCCTTTGGGGGGGGGGGAACAGTGGGCGGTTGACCACTCAGCCCAGTGCCCGGGGGGGGGTTCGGACAGCTGGTAAGAATGACGCAGGAAAAAAAAACCCTCGGGTTGGTCCGTTGAATTCCCGATTCGAACCGCAATTCCTTTTGTGGGGAGCTCGGATAGCTTAGGTATTTGGGCGGTCAAGGGGTCGTTCACCGCCCAGGGAAATCCTAAGGTTCCCGTCTAGAAACGCCCCTCATTCAGACAAGATGGCAGAAAAAAAAAAGTTTCGAAAAAAGAGCCCAAAGCAGAGGGAAGCCCGTCTTGGGTCCCAACTGGCAGAAAAAAAGAAAGAAAACAGAAACAGATGAGAAGAAAAAAAGAACGCGGGGTTATAGGTACTAAAACGACCAACATCCTACATTATCTCAATCCTTGACCACCTACCCTGAACCGCAAAGGACTTGACGTTTTCTACGTACCCCGTACCCCTTGTCTGTAGTCAGCACTCTATTTACCTTTTTTTTATTTATTTTTCCTTTCCGGAATAAATGACGCTACACCATCGCCATCTACACGCCACGAACCGAGAAAGAGACCTTTCCCAGCAAACAGAGAGCCACTCTACGACACTCGTTTTCATGAAGTGAAATACCATCCCCGCCTTCATACCACCCATTACTCCCTCCTCGCCTAGCCTCCTCCCCTCCAAGCGAACCGTGATCGAAGCGAACCTCCTCCCCTCCAAAACCACCAAGCAAAACGACAACCATAAGCCTCGCTCAGCAAGGCTCATCTTCCCTCCTCCTCCTCCTCCTCCTCCCAAAAAGATGTCAATCCCAGACGACTCATCCAACAATGGCCCCCCAACATCCCCCAAACGCGCCGCACAAGACGACCTAGCAACCGACCCCGAATCCCACCCCCCCGCCTCGAAACGCTCCCGCGCCACAAGCCCCTCGCAAGACGACGACGACGACGACAGCGAGGCAAAGACGCGGGCTACGACGGCGGCGATGGCGAATGCGTCCCTGACGGCGGGTGAAGACGAGGGCGAGCGGGACGTCGGTGGTGCTCCAGCAGCAGCTCCCTCGGCGCAAACGACACAACCCTCGACAGCAGCACCAGCCGAGACACCAGAAACAACACAGCCTCCTCCGTCCGCGCCAAAGACCAAAATATGCGGAGTGTGTCACGAAAAGGAGGGAAAATACAAGTGCGCGCGCTGCGCATTACCATTGTATGTACTATTTTCACGTATCTTGCTCTCAAAGTCTTGCTTCGTCTCAAAAAATACCTTCGTTCTTCATTATACGTGGTTTGTGTTCGTTAAATACATTATCTTTACTAACTTGTAGCTTCCTGCAGCTGTTCCGTTCCGTGTAATAAAATGCACCGCGAGAACCACCCGCCCGATCCCGAACCGGCGCCGAAGCCTGAACCAGCCGTCATCGACCCCCCCGCGCCGAGCGCCGCTGCCGCGTACGACCCAAGGAACCCCTTTAGCGTCCTCGACGACTCGGACCAGCTCCGGTACCTATTCCGGCGGTACCCAACGCTACAAGTGCGACTGCTCGAGATCTTCGCCGCCACGGAGCCGCCGCCCGAGCTGCAGTCGACGGGCAGCAGCCTCAACGACATGATGAAGGCGCGGGCGTTGGCGGCCGCGAATCCGAAAAAGGAGCAGTGGACGCACGACGTCGGGATCCGCAAAGGAAAAGAGGCGCTGCGGAGGGCCAGGGCCGCCGACGGCGAGGATGGCGAAGGCGTGAGGGAGTATGTTGAGCTCATCAACCACCTCATGTCGCAGGCGAGCGCGGCGGCGGAGGCCGAGGAGGTGATTCGGAAACAGGCGGCTGACAAGGATGCCAAGCTGATACGGCGCCTCATGACGGAGGACCGCGGGTGAGGACGTTTTGGGGTTGGTATTGGTATAGGTATGATTAGGGCGGGCGCCTGCGGGTACAATGCGGGCGGCCCTTTTGTGTTGGATAAGGCGTACACAGACGTTCGATCAAGTGTGCGGTGAAAGCACTGTGTATGCATAGATGGTATCGATCATCAGGTAAGGGTCCTAGTATTATTCCCTTGGCATATTTGCAGAGCTCAGTGGTTGACTTTGAATCGCGCAAAGAATCCGCTCTTGGGCGACCTCAAGGCGGTGTCAGACGGTGGGCTGTTGTCCCGGGAGTGGTTTTCTTCCCGCCCGTGTCTAGCAAGGGCCCCGAGCTTATGCTTCAGAGCCCATATCGAATCCGCCTTGCGCAGTGACGACTTGGTCTTTGGCTGCGGCTGCGCTTCATCGCTTTGAGTCCAGTCCACGCGGTGCTCATAAGGATTGTGATCCGCCGCTTCGGGATCATCAAGATGATACGGTGAAGAGGTACCAGACTCAAAGGGAAGGAGAATGTCGCCAGTCGTCGCCCGCCTAGCAGATCTTGTATGATCCGTCTCGCCGGCCCGCCCAACGCCCAGCGGTCCCTCAATGGTGTGCCTGTGGTGGTTGCGGTCGCGGTGCGCGCGCGGACTGCTCAGCTCAGCCATTTCCGGGATCTGTTCGTGAGTGATGGGGGCGCGGTCCTGGTGCCTCTCGCGGTGACCTTGGGCAAGCCTGAGGGCCGTCCTCGACAGCTTGCGGACGAGGCCATTGCTGTCTGACGGCTCGGTCGTTGTTGTGCGTGAGAACTGCGCGGCGGCGAACTGTGGGATGAAGGGATGTCTGTCGCCGTCGGAGCCTTTGGGTTTTGAAGACGAATCCTTCCCACCAGACTTGGAGCTGCGTGTGTCCCCGTCAGACGTCTTCGACTTGGGCCGGATGGAGCTGCCAAAGTCTACTCTCTCCTTGGTCGGCTTGGCAGCGAGCGGCGCGGATCTGATAGTGTTGGCCTGGCCAGGCTTGTGTGATCCTTGCTCGAGACATTCTCTAGCCAAGCTGGTATGCTGTGGGTGGCCATCCTGTAGCCCGTTGAGAACGGGAACTGGCGCCACCGGTGCTGACGGTGCAGCGGCATCTGCTCTGGCTCTCCTTCTCTTCTCGGCGTGAAGCTTCTGATCGGCAAGGACCTTGACGAGCTTTTGAGACAGCTCCTCGGGGTCGAAGGGCATCGGCTGCGAGCACCGCTGTCTCGGCCGAGGAGGGGCGATTGGCTTGATGGGCTGAGCTGCCGCCGCCGTCGGCTGATCACGAGGGTAGCTCATGTTGTATAACATGTCGATCGTTAACTGGAAGCTACCAGTACTTCGGGTCAAGATTCCCAATTGAAGAATTAAATCTTGGCAAAATCGTGCAAATGTGGGAGTGGTGAAATGTGCGTTCTGCTGAACCAGCTCGTGGGAAAGGACGCAGTCGCAAAGAGCGTTTCCGGACGGAGGGCGCCTTATACTTGGATAGAGATGCCCTGGTGACTGAGTGAACTGGGAACGCGGGGGTGGGTTGATCGTCAGAGCAAGTCGGGTCGGGTTGTTAAGGTTGTTTGTTTCCTAGCAGGGGTATTCATGTAGGTAACATCCGCTGCCACAAAAAAGTAACAGGCTTTCCTTTGACGTGACCGCCGGTCGAATGCGCCTCTGTGAGAGAGAAAGATGAGGAAGGGTCTACAGTGGAAAGTCGAATGCGCTCTGGATTAAACAGCGGTCTCGGGGGGCCTGGTTTATGTATATGTCATACGATCGGGACGCGGGAACCGGGCAAGCAAGCAGCAGCACGCGGGCTCATCCAAGGTTGAAGCGAGCGAATGCACCACTGTCTGGACCAAGGCAGGTGAAGTGGGTCGAAGAGCTCTTCCTTCGCGTCCAGGGTCCTGTCGTCCTGTCGGCTGTTGGGAACGTCCAAGGCGCTGGACCTGCGTTTTGGGCTGTTGGTGCGTGCGTGTGTGCGTGCCGGAGTGCGGTTGGAGGTGGTGAATGAGGTCGGGCGAGGCGTGTGTGTGTAAGAGAGAGAGAGAGACAGAGAGAGAGGTGAGGTACGCAAAGGTCGATTAAACAGAGACAAGTAACAGTGACAGAGAGACAAGAGACAGCAAGAGGCGGAAAAGATGGAAGAGAGATGTTGGTGGTGTGCGTCGTTAGTCCCGCAGGGTCCCAGACAATATGTACCTCACGGGGAACAAACTTCAGACCTGCCACCAAGCGTACTGTTTTCCTCTCTCTCTTTTCTTCCTCTCCGTATGCGCGTGTGGTGACGGCGAGACAGAGAATGGGACGGGAGCCCGGTCTGGCTGAACTCGGACGACGGAGGGGTGGATTTTTGTGGTAGTGGTGGCTGGCGCAGGAAGGATTGGAGAGACAACACACTTGACTTTACGTGGTGTGCGTGTGTGAGAAATGTGAGGGCGATCTAGCGAAAGACCGAGGAAAGAGATGAGAGACAGGATGGAGAGACAAGAGAGGGCTGAAGAGTCAACAAAGTGACAGAGAGGGAGAAATAGTAGCGAGAAGAGAGAGAGAGAGAGAGAGAGAGAGAGACAGAGAAAGAGAAGGCTTGCGAAGGGGTGTGGGAAGGTGAAGAATTAAAAAAAAAAACCACAAGGGGGGGGGTTTACGGATGTCTTAGAGGACACGAGCGTTCCATAGGTCGCATTTTTAGACACCTCTGATGGTATTCAATGGCTTGAAGGACTCGTTCTGGTTCTGGTCCGGTGTGGATGGGAATGAATGGATGGGGTTGGATTGGAGACCATTTGCATCCATTTAGACCAAAGGCAGCTAAGTACTCGGAGTCTCAGGGGATATCATAATTCCTAGTCCACACAGTAAGCATGAGCAGCCCGAGTCAACGGCTTGATGCTTGGAGACGTTTATTTTGCACTTTCCAGTCTGGAGCCATTTTGGTATTGCAGTTAAAGCAGGTTGGGGGGGGGGGGGGGAATGCAACTGCCTCTATCACGCATTCAAGCATCGCGCCGCTTATTTGGCTTCAGGTACCAGGCTTCAAAAGATCCCTCGCCTTACCTCACTGAGCTGTAAGACGGGGAATTGGACCTTTAGCCTGCCCATCTCGCCTTACTATCCTTAGTTACCTTACCTTACTTGACTGACTTGTACCTTGCCTTAAGCGGCGATGCGGACTCGGGGGCCCTGGGCAGGTAGTTCTCTGAGGGTTGCCCACCTTTCTCTGTGCTGGTCGGCACGCGGCGCATGGGACAAGCTATCAAACCTGCATACCACCTTCAGACCTCTCGTTTCTTACTTTTCCTTCCCTTTCCCTGTCCCTTTTTCTTCTCTCGGCGGCACCAATCAACCCTGCGTATGCCATATGACCAAGTCCAGCGTAACGACCAACTGCTGTGCGAATAGGTAGCCGACTTCTCCGTACTAGTCCGATGTGATTTCATTAAATCTCGGCCCTAGCCCGTGGGCGAGTAAGGGCGCATGAACTGGGGTGCCGGGAGACCACCACCACCACCAACGAACCCGAACCATTCCTTATTCGACCAAGATCGTGACCTGCAAAGAAAACCCATACTACCAAAAAGAAGGTGACAGGGGGATTGAAGGTGAGAAGAGAAAAAAAAAAAAGGTAGCATGGCCGTGGTGCTTGAGCCTACCCTTTGGATGAACCGGCCGGACCAACGCGGTATGGCTCGACATGTTAGACGCCTTGTTGGTCATCCGAGTTACACTGGACCAGTGATCGGATGCCGCTTTGGGACTGTCTCCGGGCGTTCGCACGCTTCACCGACACCACACGGAGCCGGCTTCCCTCTCCCTTCTCCTCGCTTCTCAAGGACCTCGACCACTTCTTCGGACATCGGTGGCGCTGTCTGTTCTGAAACCTCGACAGCTCTTATCCATCCGTCCTCTGTATGAGAGCAGGGTCGGAGGGTAGGACAACAGCCAACCTGCCTTGTACAATGTGGTCTGAACATGCTTCTGATGTGTGTCGAAGGGCGTAAGCGGGCATTAGTCACCGTAGAGCAGCCTGTGGTGCGCTTCTTGCAAGTGTCAGGACTGGAGGCTAGAAACAAGTCTGTTGCGGGAGAGGAAGGGGGTAAAGGGGGGATGGGACTAGTTCCATGACAAGCTCGATATGCACGGTGGCTCCATGTGCGCCGCACAACCGAGTAGGACGGCGTGGTTTCTGTCTTCTGAGCCGTGGGTTGAGGTTGTTGGTATCGACTACGGGAGGGTGTGGTGATGCCACGTTCCTTCGGATCACCGTCTCCCCCCAGTCTCGCGTCCCCCAGTCTCCCCCAGCTTTCCAACCCCAGACGAGGGCTGGCACGCTGGGTACGGATAGATCGACAGACGAGAAGTTCGACCGCGCCATCTGAAGCCTCAAGATATCCCAGCCATCGAGCATGATGAGGTTGGCTCGTGGGCGCGCCTATGTCTTGGAACCACCATCAAATCATGGCTAGTAAGCAAGTAAGTAGACGGAGAAAAAGTAAAAGAAAAGAAATAATCAGAGACAAAGAAGAAGGAAGATCGGCGGCTCTCGGCAGTGAGTGAGTGATATCCAGGCGGTTAGTGAACAAACGCTGCAGATGCAGACGAAACCGGAAGACTCGATTCTCCAGGGAGGTTGTCAAATCTAACTAATGGCAGAGTCAATCCTATCGGGCATGATCAGCAAATGGTCTGCCAAGCGTCGTCTTATCTTCCAACGCTCCTGCAATACACGCTGGATTTGGCCATGGCGCCATCTCCTCAATGGGTGCACCTATTGAATAGAACCCAAGTGTCCCACCCCTAGACCCTAGACTCTGGACTTTGAGTCTGACCAACAGAGCACAATTGTCTCGGTTGATGGTAGCACTGCCTGACTTGGTGAGAAAGTCTGCTTGCCATCTGGACAAACTGAACCGCACGCCAAGACAGCTTCGTTGCTTTTCTCACTTAATCCATTGGCTTCACCCTGCTCACCGCAATCCGTACATCGCAGAGAGGCGCGGCTCCCAGCGCATCGAGGTCTCTATGCAAAACACGGCATATAAGACTCGGTGAGGTATCGCGAGAGAGAGGTGCCGCAGTGGTGATGATGTTGTTCACTTGTGCAGCTTGCTGCATGTGTGCATGTGTGCATGTCTTGCCCTCGTATCGCCTTCCAATTAACCCTACGCTGGGTTTTACCAAGGGTTATCTTGCCATATCATGCAGCTTGGCGATGCAGCCACGCATCCATCGAGTGTTGCTGGCGGCACCCTGAACTGCCGCACACGAACCCCACAAGCTACCCCCCCCCCATCAGAAGTATCCGTAGTTGTTGGAGGCACACAAGTCATTCTGCGACGCCACAGCTGCACGTTTGTGAATAAAGGCTGATGATCCGGAGCTGGCCATTTCGATACACCTAGGTAATAGTACACCCAGTCACCCCAATTCGGAGCCGACCCGGGCCAGACGTGTGGTCTGCGACCTGGACATACTCTTGCCACCAAAAGTAAAAGCTTGAGTCCTTCAGCCTGATATGTAACTCAACTTCTTCGAAGATTACCGGTCCTCACAAAGAATGTTGACCGAGAGCATGGTATTCCAGCTCACGATGGTTTCGGAATAGCAGCAGCCCGTATAACCAAGTGAGGCGGGTACTGTTCGCCAGACGACGCCGTCGTCAAGCCGTGGCTGGCATTTTCAGTCTATTGAGAAGGCCAATGCCACAATCGGCCCGCTTATCGGTCATGCTGTTCTGCCGCTGCAGACCTGGAAAAGCAAGAAAGGGAAGAAAAAAGGGCCGGCTAGAGCGCGCGCCATCGTGTTGCACTGACTTGAAGTCGGGTTGCTGACGAGATCGTGAAAGAAAGCGAATGCCGCGATATCGTCATCAGGTGATGTTGAATGAGTCCGGATCTGGTAGCTAGCAATGAAATACAGTTGGATGGAGGCACTTGTCCGAATAACGAAGGTCAAATACGGATATCCATAGCCAAAGCGCAGGAACGTGGCCCAAGACAAGGGTCCTCCAGTGGAGAGATGCCAAGAACGCGGCCACAATTTAGTCGGCGACGTTATTTCCACTGCGATCCGTGTCAGCGCCGCTTGCTGATCCTTCGTGTCAGAAAGTCGGACGATGAGTTGTTTCCATCGTGAAACGGAAGAAAGGGCCAAGTAGCGCGGTGTGGTATATGCGAAGGGGGTTTCATTGGAGCTGAAGATATCGGTGCCATCTCTTCATTGTTGTGTTCCTCAGGTAGAGAAGGGCTTGGGATGAGAGATGACCAGGCAATTTCTCCATGAACCGTGCCCAATTTTTGACAGAAGTTTATCGAACCAGGGCCCAATAGTCCGAGTTGAGGCCGGTGCGTTGTCAGATGCCTAGGGAGTTCGGACGCTGTGGATGAAGATGCCGCAACCGTCCAGAAATACACAATGCATATCGTTTGTCTCCGCCGTGAAGTGGGCAAGATACCGGATGGGATTCCCGTAGATGGCGCATCTTGTATGACAACCCAGGTTGGTGGAATGTCGAGGCTAGATCTGCGTGCCAGTGCCGACCAAAGCTGACCGGTACTCCGGGTCCCGAGCTACTGGAAAGCCTCAGGGCCATTGCCAGGATCATGTTCCTAGAGAAAACACTTTGGAATGCCGCTTATTTCGAGACCAATGCCCGGAGTGATTTTTCAGGGGGTTCCCTCCAAACATAGGGAAATGTGATTGCTAGTATGAGAAGAGAGAAGTCAACGACGGTGCGTTTCGAGAGCATAACTTTTAGGTGGCAGAAGCAACCCTGTTGGACGTTTTGAAGTTAAGCTAGGGAGCTTGATTGGCCTGGGGACCACATGTTGATGCGAAATTGCGATGACTTGGGCGGCAGAGGATCATGGCACCAGTTGGACTGCCTCATCTTGAGACATGAATGGTGTCTGTACGCGCGCCAGTAGCATTGTTCTGGACAGAAGCTTGTTGGGCATGAGTTTGGCCCTGCAGGAGTGACCCATGGCGAGCTTGATGCGAGCTGGGCATTCGTACGTCATCGGCGAGTTGGTATTGGGTTTCGGCCTAAGTGAGTTTGCTGCTGAAAAAGTTTGATTGCCCGGACAAGCGCAGCCTACCTCGTGAGGACAGTGGCAATAGCAAGTCTTGGTGTCCCTAGGGATGTTCGTCTGGGGTTCAAGTCCTGAGCTGGTAAAGTTTGCAGACCGCCAGTTGGTGGTGTTGGTCGCAATGAGGACGCTGGAGCCGGAGCAGCGAGCCGGAGTCAACCCCGGACAACACGGTTCACGAGGTTTGATTTGACTTGATTTTTAGGTGGGCTGCTTAATTACCAATACAAGGGAAGGAGGCAATGACGGAAAGGTACCTTAAAGTAAGGTAGGTAGGTTGGCGTTAAGAAGCAGCCTCGAGCAGCAGCTACCTTACGAATGCAAAGCACCTCAGGATACCTAACGTAGGTAGCGTGGGTAGAGGTACCTTTGGCGCATCGAAGCCGTCCAAGGTACTTGGGCACCTAGGTAGCTCAGGAAGGAGAGGTCCACTGGAGCAGCTGGGGCCGTGTGAGTGAGTACCGGTACCTTATCCGTTTAAGTGTCCGTACAGGCTCGCAGCGCATCCACTGAGAAAGGTAGTACCTGTCTCCCTGCACTTTCCACCTTGAATTTGGAGCCACTGAGGGTCTCGAGATATCTTGAATGGAGAGGCAGGATGAGTTCAGCAACGGTGACCAATCATTCGGCAGAAGGAGAGTTCAAGCGTTCCGTGGACGTCGAAGGGGTCCAGTGCTACCAACGCTTACGGGTCTTGTAATTGGATGGATGGGCCCCCCAGACCAAATGGGCCTTTAGGGTCCACTCAGTGCGGTGCCGGGGGCCCGAGCTTCCTGACTTCACAGTGTTGCTTCCTCGTCCAGAAATGGAAGTACTCAGGTACCTGCTCGCAGAATACCTACTTGTAGATGGAAAGAGCACAGCTGCACAGGGCGCAGTGGAACATCCCTTGTTCCCTTTCTCCGCTTTCCTGGTTGCTCCCGTCCACTTCCACTTTCAATTCCACGTCCACGTCCAGTCCCATCCCGTGCTGCCGTTTCTGTCCTGCCCGGGTGAGAGTATCCATTCGCATCAGCTGCTTTTCCCACCAGAGGGACGGATACGCTTATTTACCTCTGCACACCTATTTTTGACTACTCCAACTTGCTGATAAACCAGCGAGCGTACCCGCGCCTTTCGTCTTTTGAGGTCCGGTAAGGGTCGGCAGCTAATGTACGGACTACGGATACCTTAATCAAGCTCACGTCTCTTGCTCCGTATTACGGTATTACCTACGGATACTGCGTACCCCTCATCAACGGCTCGTCTCTCGGTCAGCGGTCCTGATCGTCACGGCCCCTTCCCGCTCTCCCGTTAGTCTCTCACTTCGTCTCACTCTCTCCTGACGGGACCTGCCCGTGGACACTGGACGCTTCTTTCCCCTCCACCACGACCACCACCCCCTATCCATTCCCTCATCTTACTTGGTCAGGTCCGGCCCCAAACCAGCGCAGCCTAGGATTCAACCATCCACAACTCCAAGAACCTACCAAAGGTACGGTACGTAGGAAGCAAACCTACCAACCCCCGGGCCCCCGGCCCCCTTCCAGAAGCAACAGGAACAGCACATGCTGTGCCACTGCTACCAACCAAAGGTGCCATTGTTGTTGGTGTCGTCCTGGTTTGGTTCGATCTTGAACCCCCTAGTCAGCGCTAGGCGACAAACCCTCTCCCGAGTCCCCCCGCCATCATCAACCAGCCAGGTTGGTAGAATCCCAATCTCAATCGCAATCGCACCAAGCTCGGCCCTGCACCACATGCGCCGCGTCAATTGCCCCCCTTCTTGAATTTCCCTTCTGAAGCTTGGAAGGGGCCGGAGCCCTTGGCCTAGATCCGCGACTGACCTCATTTGCTGTGTGTCTAGCATCGTCGACGAACGCTTACCAAGTATCCGTACGTACGCTGCTCCTCCAAGGTCCCAATCCACGCCCGTCACTTCTCACAAGCCCGACATCTGCGCACCGGTGGAGCTCTTAGCGAGAAAATAAAAAAATAAACCAGGCCCCTTTTTCGAACCCCTGGTCTGCCGCACCACGAAGCTCTATCCTGTTCCTGTTCCTGTTCCTGTCCCATCCTATCCGTACTGCGTTCGCGCTATTCACACGCACCCAGTCGCCCAGTACCTCTGACGGATCCTCTGTGTACCTGATCTGACGAGCCGCAGTCCCGTTCCTACGTACCTTACACTGTACCTACCTGACCTATCCGTACCTACCTTACCTTGCTTGCCCAATCTTTGGTCGAGGTTTCTCACCGGCCCAGCAACCATTACCAAGGGCCCCCGACGAGAAAGCAAGGTACACACGAGGCAGGCCGCAGACCACACTAAGAAGAACGGTCCCTGGTGGGTTTGCCATGCCTTCCTTGAGGCTCTGAAATCCCGACTTTTAGTCAGTGCATCCACTGTCCCAAAAGTTTGGTTTTCACCCAAGGCCCTGCCAGTTCCGCTCTGTTCTTGTCTGGTCGTGATCTTTCCAATCTCTTCTTCTTTGCACATTGTATGTTTGCTTCCCCCGAAAAGCCTCTGCCCTCCCCCGGTCGTGGCCATGGCGTCCGATCCTATGGGAGCTCGAAAGGCTCACAGGAGTTCAGAAGGCTCCCGCCTACCTCCGAAATACTACCACGCCGACCGTTCCACTGCCAACGCCGCTGTCTCCTCCTTCTCCTCCTCCTCCCGAAGAGCCGACCGCGACGCCGCTCACCGATCCGCCCCCGCCGCTCCGAAGAGACATACACCTCACTACGCCGTCCACCGAGAGTCTTCGATCGAGCCAATACGGCCCTCTGCCTCTGCCTCTGCCTCTGCCTCCGAACAACCTGCCAACTACCGGGACTCCTTCATCTCCATCGTCGACGACCCGTTCTTCCTGCGATTTGACGATAACAACATTGAAGGGGCGCTTGCACTCGACCCTCGTTGGACTGCGACTTCATTTGACGACGCCGACGCCGAAGACGAAGGAGACGATTACGAAAACGAAAACGAAAACGCGGGCGACAGCCAGGAGGGCGAAGACGAGGACGAAGACGAGGACGAAGAATTCGATTTCGACGCTTTCGAGTTCCGCGATGACGACACGCCCAACGAGCGCTGGCCGCCCCCAAGAAGAGAGTCGTTGATAATAGGACATTCCTTGTACTGGGTAATAATGCCCCACTAGACACAGACTGCGGGGTAGCTGATGAGACGGGAGTGGAAAAAAGGGGCTGACGATCATAGCAACCACCAACCTCCGCCATCATGGAGAGCCTCAATATCGCAGTCATTGGCGCCTCGGGCGTTGGCAAGTCGTCCTTCGTCCAGCGCGTGCTGGGCCTATCGCGACCGCCCATTACCAATGCATCCAGCGTCCGCATGGTCGTTGACAATGTCACCTACGGCGTCACGCTGATCGAGCTCGACCTCGAGTACTTTGAGCTGAATCCGCTACAGCCCATCCAGTGGCCGAAACAGATCAACGGCCACATCGTCCCGCGGGTCGATGGCGCCCTCATTATCTACGATGTCATGAATAAAGAGAGCATGAAGGAATTGCCTCAAACGATTGGTGAGCCCAACTTGCGCCATTTGATTCGTCTAGACGCGGCGCGTCTTGCTGACACGCGCTAGCTGCTTTAACAAAGTCGGGTCTGCCGGCCGTCCTCGTCGCCAACAAATGCGATCATCCCGAGAGCGAACGGCAGGTTGATGCGCAGCGAGTCGCCAGCCACGAGTATTTCAAGTCATGCGTTGGAGTTTTCAATCTATCAACAAGTAGTCCAGAACGGGCCAGAGCGTGCTTGAACACAACTTTGAAAGCCTCGATCGCTTACCGCAAGGGTAATTTGAACCCGTCATTGGATGCACAACTAGCCCATGCATTAGCTGATGAACTACCAGAATCACGATTAGAATCGGGCATGCCCCGCCGTCGTGCAGCCTCGGCGGCCAACCTCGAGGCCCACGACAGCTCCAACGGACGCCCGCTAAGTCAGCAGAGTAAACATAGCCGAGCGAGCTCTGAGTTGTCGCTTCTTCGAGGTGTCCCCCCTCCCATCCCCGATCACTTACGTGGCCCACTTCCTCCACGGAGTCCTCGAATAGCCGACTTTGGTGGCGCGCCTTCAAGTTCGGGCTCGTTCGGCCCATCAGATACCATTGAGGAGGAGTCTCAACAAACTGTCTCGAGTCAGCTACGGACACCTGGGATACGTCTCGACCGCGGGCCAACGGATTCGTTTCTAGACATGGAGGAATCAGACGCCGAATCATTCAGGTACTCGGAGGAGGTCCCCATTCTACAACGGAGCGATGAGAGCTTCCTCGAGAAGCCGAACAAGGCCACGGGTGTGGCCTTTGAAGAACTGGTCGACCGGCTCATTGCTCCCCGGATGACCAAAGCAGATAACAACTTTTCGGACGTTTTTCTGTGCCTCTACCGGAAGTTTGCCGCACCTGGCGAACTCTTCTCGGCAATTCTCACGCGACTTGACCGCGTCAGAGACGACAAATCAGCACATTATCTTTCCAAGACCGCGACACAGCTCAGAATCATTGAAGTTGTCGCAAAATGGGTATCGCTGTACCCTGGCGATTTTGCGCGGCCAGGCACGAGGCGAAACCTAGAAGAGTTCATCAAGCATCTCTCCACCGAGCCGATCTTTTCCATTGCTGCGCAGCAAATTCGGCGACATCTCGAATTCAGTGTGGTGGAGGACGACAACACCGGGTGGGCAAAGTCAGACGAGGTTGCAGACGAAGAAGGCAGCAAACTGTTGTCGAGAGAAAAGACGCGCTCTGCATCAGACATGTCCAACGGTATGATCAGCCTGAGCATCGACGACGACAGGACTACAGATGAGAGACCTTCCGGCAGCTCCGACTTTTCCCAAGTGGACAGGACTAGTAGCGTGGGTACGCACGTTTCGTTTCACTCTTACGACGAATACGAAAGAGAGGCAGCGAATATGGAGCCCACGGATGTGCTACCGATGAACAAGTTCCGTTACCACATTTTCATGGATATCACGGACGACGACATCGCCGATGAGATGACACGCATCGACTGGGTCATGTTCTCTTCTATCCGCATCAGAGACTTCGTGCGGCATGTGAGTCTCTCATTGGAGCAACGATCCAAATGCAAGAGTCTCAAGAACGTGAATCGGATGATCAACCACTTCAACCACGTGGCGAAGTGGGTTGCCAATCTCATATTATTACGAGACAAGGCAAAGCATCGGTCCCAGATGCTGGAGAAGTTTATGAACATTGCACAAAAGCTACGGCGACTCAACAACTACAACGGTTTGGCGGCGGTGCTCGCAGGGATCAACGGCACGGCGGTCCATCGGTTGGCGCAGACATGGGCACTGGTACCGCCTGAGGCGCAAAAGTCGTTTGCGAAATTGGGCATTCTCATGGGCACACAAAAGAGTCACTTTGCGTACAGACTGGCATGGGAGAATTCCCCGTTGCCGCGGATACCATACATTCCACTGCACCGGAGAGACCTGGTCTCGGCCGAGGAAGGAAGCAAGACATTTGTGGGCCCTGAAGGCGACAGAGTCAACTGGAAGAAATTTGAGGTACTGGGGGAAGTACTGCTTCCGCTCATGAAGAGTCAAGGGACTGCGTACCCAAACCTCTCGAAGCATGAGGCAGCCAGAGAGCTGATTTTGGACTGCAGAATGCCAACAGACGAAGAAGTAAGTGAGGTGGTGACGGCTATTAATAGTATAGCATGACTAACGTATCGACACAGGAGATATATCAACGGAGTGTACAGCTGGAGAGCATGGCGGGCGGCGGTGCCGAGTACAACAAGAAGAAGTTCCCGTGGTTCGCCAAATAGAATCTGGCAAATCGGCGAAGTGTCTCGACGGAAAGACTCTTTTGCCCAACGACGACGAGAGCATAGACGGACGAAGGCGCAACGTCTGCGGGCAAGCTGGTCATTAGCTCGCGCGAGACGTGATGGCGCATGCATGCGTACATATCAACATGTCGGGTTCACGCAGCGTAGTGTGACTGTTTCTAGGCGATTTGGCTCGAATTTCACGTCATAGATATCCTGTTCAGCAATTGATATCGAGGTCGATGATGACCTCGAATTACTGTCGACACTGGTCCCGTCCTGTCGAGATTGATGATTGAATCATGCCAGTACAGCACAGTGGCTGGACTAATGTTCTCCCGGAGTGTGTGACGGCGGAGGTGATATTTTTTCTCTCTCGGATTTTGCAGATTGAGTCAAGGGCGGACGGCAACGCTAGCTGTTAGGGCTCAAGAGTCAAAGGAAGTCATTGAGGCTCACCATGAACACCACCATGAGCAGCAAACCACGTTTCTTTCGTCGGGCGGGGGGCGTTGGAAATGTTTCTGGGCTTGTACGGCGGCGGCAACCAAGACCAAAACAGCACCTCATCGACGATCGATTCGCATATTCCCAAGTGCCCTTGTCAGTCGGCGGCGGTCCAGGCCGTGTCGGGGCCCCGGGGGTGGCAGCGACGGCCCAATGCAGTGAGATGTGGCCGGCGAAGAGCTGCCCCGCTAGGTTGGATGGAGGTGCGCTAGAGCCTGTTGACGTCATGCCTCTGAAAGCTCTGATTTTAGCGTTTCAAAGAGAGGGGCAACAAGGGGCAGCAGCAGCAGCCAGCCGCTGTAATATCGGTGCCCAGGAGCAATTGGATGGTTCCATTGTGGTTGGAGCGAGGGAAGAGAGAGAGAGAGAGAGAAGGGGGAACTTTGGAAGAGGAGACTCACGAGAAGGGAGTCAGCTGCAGCTCCATCAGATGTCAATTGCTGATCCCTGAGAGCAATTGGCATGACAGGCAAGCGTTGT